GCTATAATGGTTGTATTGATGTATAGCAACTTGAAATTATGTAAAAATATAAAGTAAGCTCTGGCGGACTTGGTTCTATGGTAGGTCTTAAAGGGTTAAACAACACAACATGCACATCTATTCAAATCAATTCAATTTTATTTATACAGTGGCAAATCACAACAACAGTCTCCTCAAGGTGCTTTATATTGTAAGGCAGACCCTACAATAACACATACAGAGAAAAACCCAACAATCATATGACCCCCTATGAGCAGCACTTTGGCAACAGTGGGAAGGAAAAACTCCCTTTTAACAGGAAGAAACCTCCAGCAGATCCAGGCTCAGGGAGGGGCGGGGCCATCTGCCTAGTGCTCCAATGTGGTGATATGGTACTATAAGGTCATTAAGATAAGATTGGGCCTGATTATTTAAGACCTTGTATGTGAGGAGCAGGATTTTGAATTCAATTCACATCTCATGGCAAATATTACACTAAAATTTATAGTTAAATACATTTTTATTTAACTATATCTTATTATATTTTGGATATTTAGTTTACTGAAACTAGACTAAAACTCGAAAAATGTAAATTATGACTAAAGCTAAATCAAAATTTGCTGCCAAATTGAACAGTGAGGGACAAAATCACGGGAAAGCTTCTAGTACTTGTATAATTACCAGTTTCCAGGCTTTGTCTTCTGTGCACATGTGCAGAGGGAGAAGATTCATCCATGCAGATTAGAGCTTTGTGCTTTTTTGCCCACAATTGTAAAGGGAGTGAAATATAGACTGAGGTGTGGCTTTGCACTACAAGCAGCATTGTTCTATCACATGTGATTTCTTCCCTCTCCAGAGGCACTTACAGCGCTGCTACTTTACGGTCTAACAATCAGCCAATCGATGACTTTCCTTTTGGTTTTATTACTCAAAACGCTAGCACATGTCAGCCACCCATCTCTGTTCCACATGCTTGTTTTTTCAGTAAGTCGCTGCAGACATAACTGATAGTCCGCCTCGCCTTACCATTTCACCCCAGTGGCTTCAAACTGTCTGCAGTCATTTCCTCTGTTTGATCCAACCACTTTTCTTCCTTTCCCTTGTTTTGTCCAAGGACGCCCCTGCTGCGCTTCACCGTCCACTCCCAGTTACCTGTGCGCTGATAGATGGCATCAAATAACTGGGTTTTTCTGCCATCAGGAAAAGAGGATTACTCTTCATTTTCTAACCGTTTCTGACAGGCCAGTCGCCGACGCTGCTAAATGACTCGTGTAGTCTGTGTTTTTTTTCACGACTTTACGGTCGACTATCCTCAGATTTATCCTTACGCATGAATACATAGCAGATATTGACAACCTTTAAATAATATATTGTATTAATTAATGTTAGAATTCTTGATATTTATAACAGAGTAACAATAAATATTTTAAATAGCAACATTCCCCACTGATAAATAGGCAGTAGTTTTCATTTCTAATCATGATTTGCTTTTCTTTAAAAGTACTACCGCTGCATCTGTGGTCATGAGCTGCCATGTTGAAACGACATAAAACCATCTGATTTAGTCCATGTGGGAATGAAAATCCAATTGTCTGAACTCCAAAATCCACCCAGAATCTATTATTCCTGTCAAATGGGAGCACAGTGATTGTGCTGTGCTGTGAAGTACTGAAAGGATTCAATCTAAGAGGGCTAACAGTTTCCGTCTGGCCCGGGACCATCCGTTTCTAGGAGAAGAAATTGATTTCATTGGCAAAAAACTTGAAATCAGAGTCATCTTTCTTAATCTCTTCCTGACTTCTTGGAAACGTCCTGGCCTTTTGGAGGGGAGTAATGAGCTCACAGGAGAGTTTGATGATCCATGTCCTCACCCCTTGCTCCAAATACAAGATGTGCCCAATTCAGTTTGGTGGATCATTTTCTGCAATCTTGGCTACTTGCATTTGAGCTGCTTCGACGTTATTTTTAGATGGTGAAACATGAAATGAGTTACGACGTGATTTAAAGAAAAAAAATTGCTGTTGTGTTTTTCTCACTACATGAAATGAAATGCGGCTTCAGATAATGGACTTCTACGGGTAGAAACAGTTTTGCGAGTGTGCAGCGGTCCTCTCATCTATGCGTCGGTGTAGCTCCGAGCTCTTCTTCTATATAAACTGCATATGCAGTTTATACTCTGATTGTATAATATCATCATTATAATATCGTTTTTATGCAAAAAATAAAAAAATCACATTTCTCCCACATAATGAAATACTGCTGTTTGAAATATAAGGGGAAACTTTTGAGTTTGTACTCAAACAGCCTCTCTTCTGTGTGGATTATGAGTACAAATTTAATAAAAAATAACTTTATTTTAAGTAGGGATGCACAAAAAAATTTCCCTAGTGGCCAATCTAAAAAACCACAAGTTTGACAAATGACAAGCCACCCTCTGATTAATGAGATAAGTTAGTATCGGTTCATGGTATCGGTTAACTTTTACGAGTATGAGTACACACACATTTTACAGTATCGGTACCAGTATCGGCCCTGATACTGATACTGGTACCGATACTGGTATCGGTATCGGGGCCGATACTGTAAAATGTGTGTGTACTCATACTCGTAAAAGTTAACCGATACCATGAACCAATACTAACTTATCTCATTAATCAGAGGGTGGCTGGTCATTTTTGTTGTAGTTTTTTAGATTGGCCAGTAGGGAAATTTTTTTGTGGTCATTTTTATTAAGATATTATTTATTATCGGCAGAGAATTAAATAAAACCTGTCTTCCAATTCATTGCATTTGTGTGTGTGTGTGTGTGTGTGTGTGGTATCGGTATCGGTTTTTGTACTCTGTATCGGCAAGTACTCAGATCCAAGTATCGGTATCCTATCGGTTTGAAAAAATTGGTATCATTGCATCCCTAATTTTAAGGATATTTGGAGACGACTGTGCATCAGCTGTGAATTACAGCTCAGCAGACTGGAGCTCAGAGGGTTAAAGGACTGCATAGTGTACCAGGGTGTGTAAAGTTAATTGAAGACTTGCGCCAGTTGTTTCTTATGACCCCGGAGCCTGAAAAGAACACACATTGACAGAAATGTACACACACACACACACAGCGATACTGACACTGCTGTATCTGTTATGTTTGTGAAGACGCTGCCATAGCTCATTAACCATGGTCAGTCGCTGTGTGTGCCTCCATGTGTTTGGCCATGATGCCTTGTCTGGGTGATTAATGGCGCTTTCTTGCCTGCACTAGGTTGTGATCGGAGTTTCCTATTGTCAGACACATGACCTCAATTACCACCAGAGATCAGACATGAACAGCATCGTGCTCTCTTCATGTTACAAACATTTATTTCAGTGACAACATGTGTTGGACAGTTAGGAGCCTTTAAAGTTTCTGTTTTCTCCACCTCTCCAGAGTTGGCAGGTTGGTGTCCTTTAGGCCTTTGCTTTGTTTTTCCAGCTGACAGCTTTACTGGTTTGGTGTCATTGCTTTTGTATACAGTGACTGGCAGCACTAACACATTGCAGACAGGCCAAGCTAACGGCTAGTGAGCGAGCAAAGCTTAGTAGCTGAGAAACCAAATCAGGGGTGGTGGAAACCAACACCCGTTGTGTGTCTCCCCTCTGTGTTTCT